TTTAACCCGGGCGGACCGCGCACGCTGAGCCATTTTGACGAGGTCGGTGCAGATGTCCGGCTCAGGGCCCGGTTCACCGATCTTGCCGATGAAAACGTGTATGCCACCAAAGGGGACCCGGTACCCGTACTCAACTGAGCCGGCCTTGGGGTCCCAGCCTGCATCATCGATGTAGAGCTTGCCGTGACGACTCTTAGTCATCCGGCCCACAGCGTAGCCCTCGAGTCCTTCAAAGCGGCCCTCCAAGAACTTGAAACCATCGTGCGATAGCCCCACGGTGGGCGCCAACTGTCGTTGTTATGTCACGGCAGATGTCCTAGAGAAAGGACTTGTCGTGGAGCCATCGCGACGGGTTAGCTTGAAGGGGTTAAAGTGGACACAGGGACGCAAGAGAGTTTTATACTAGTTTGGCCCCTTCGATGAAGGTAAAAGCCTACGTCTAGTTGTGATGGAATTGATGGGGTTTCGATGACTAGGTAGCAAATAAGCTTCTCCTAAGTCTTGAGTTGTTTTCTGTTGTCCTTGAACCGCCGCCGGGTCGTCCCCTTATATACACGGGTGACGCCCGTCGGTTCACAGAGTCCCAATACCGGCTCATAGATGTGTCCGGTTTGGTCTCTACTTATTTCTATCTTATAATACAAGTTAAATACCAACGCCGGTTTACGGCTACAGGCCTTGAACCGACCATGGGCCTTGAGCTCTCGTCTGCCTTCTTGGGCTTTGACATAATTAACTACTGATGAAGTTAACCCGGCCCAGATAGGCCGGTTTACGCCCAGTAGTAATATCCCCAACACTACGGGTTCGAGAACTATGTAGACATGACCGAGACACGTCTCCGGTCAATAACCAATAGCGGAACCTGGATGCTCATATTGGCTCCTACATATTCTACGAAGATCTTTATCGGTCAAACCGCATAACAACATACGTTGTTCCCTTTGTCATCGGTATGTTACTTTCCCGAGATTCGATCGTCGGTATCTCAATACCTAGTTCAATCTCGTTACCGACAAGTCTCTTTACTTGTTGCGTAACACATCATCCCACAACTAACTCATTAGTTGCAATGCTTGCAAGGCTTGAGTGATGTGCATTACCGAGAGGGCCCAGAGATACCTCTCCGACAATCGGAGTGACAAATCCTAATCTCGAAATATGCCAACCCAACAAATACCTTTGGAGACACCTGTAAAGCACCTTTATAATCACGCAGTTACGTTGTGACGTTTGGTAGCACACAAAGTGTTTCTTCAGTAAACGGGAGTTGCATAATCTCATAGTCATAGGAACATGTATAAGTCATGAAGAAAGCAATAGCAACATACTAAACGATCGTGTTCTAAGCTAATGGAATGGGTCAAGTCAATCACATCATTCTCTAATGATGTGACCCCGTTAATCAAATGACAACTCATGTCTATGGCTAGGAAACTTAACCATCTTTGATTCAACGAGCTAGTCAAGTAGAGGCATACTAGTGACACTCTGTTTGTCTATGTATTCACACATGTATTATGTTTCCAGTTAATACAATTCTAGCATGAATAATAAACATTTATCATGAAATAAGGAAATAAATAATAACTTTATTGTTGCCTCTAGGGCATATTTCCTTCACATTCTCCATCTTATTTTATACCATCTCACCAATATTATGCAGCTCCAAGAAGATCAACATTTGAACAATCACATGTTAAAGACCGTTTCAATCACAACGAATCGGTCCAGAGCTCAAGGAAGAAGAAAGATGCGGTAAAGCGAGTTTACCGCGTGAAAAGAGATGGTCGTAAGTGTGCTACTTTAGATTTGATCTCAAATAACAAAGAGCCAATTAAAGTGTTGACATTGGCTACAAAAGGCAAAGAAGTGAAGCAATCAATTGATAAAAATCAAAGTGCCAAATCTGAAGAAAAGAGGTTGAGGGTGCACAAGGCCCAAAACGAGTTGCCATTGGTTGAAACAAAATCACAGCCGACATGCTCACTCGGCTTATCATATTGGCAAAAGAAGAGATTACAAAATCTTAGTGCACAAGAGCTGAGAAAAAGAACATGGCATGGGTTCCCAAGAAGATCAATCAAGATAAAAATGATGTGCATGCTTCTATTGCAACAAGTACAATAAAAGTGAAGAAGGAAAAGAATGAAAGCAACAAACAATTAAGCCGAAGGTGCGCATCACAACATCAAAATCTTCGATTAGCACATCATCCATTTTCTTCAACCATATTGTTGATGCCTTTGCCATGGAATTCATCCCTAGGTATGATCAATTACCCTTCATGGATTTATTTTGATCCATGGATGCAACATACTTTTCTATATCATGAGAGGGGATTACCAAATTACTATACATATGGTTAGTTACATTGTTGCTAATACAAAGGGGCCGAAATATTTTATTCCTATTTTATTTGTTTATTTCGGCCATACATAATTTGGTGGGTGAATTCTACATGGACCTCATGTTAATGGCTGATATTTATCTATCGCCCTAAGAATATGTCAAAGCATGGCTGGTGTAGTATCCTAACACTGTCCTTAGTTCAATTGGAGACCAAAACAAGCATCATGCCGCTTAAAATATTTTTTCACAATAATCAAAACCGAATATAAAATTTTATTCGGTTTGGAGCTTTTGGTTGCCATACATATTGAGGCTTTGGGTGATTCGTTATGAGTAGTACAACAAATATCCAAGGGTAAACAATTTTCTGACGAATCACTTATAGTTTATCTTGGGGTATGTCTAGATACAAAATTTACCTTGGATTGCATTAAAACTGTTCATATATTTAGACATGTCAATTGAAGAGAGTTGGCATAGCAAGCATCCGGCTACCATGTCCGTCATGGTGTATTGCATATTTATCAATAGTCGATGCTTATTCTTGCCAACACAGGTAAGGCCGAATTGGATCTCACTACCTCGGCCACTAATGAAACTTTTATGCAGACAAAGTAAAGATTCGAGAAAGTTCATTGTTGATTATCTGCAAGATCCTAGCAGAAGCGTGGACAATATGGTTGATAGATGGTTTTGACATGCGTACCTATGAAACTTTATAGTCGGATTAATGAAGTTGAGAAAGTCACCCAAGCTTGCATCAAAAAATTCACACAAGCAATGGCCAATATAAACTTATCGTCCTAAGCATATGCAAAATGGCCGATGTAGTGTTGACATTGTCCTTAAAGCAAGCTATGTGCAAGTTATTTTTCGGCACACAAGCTTTGCCGAAAAACAGGGGGCATGTTTTGACACCAGATTTTGGCACGATCAAGAATTTAAATAATATGGCTTCAAATGGAGAAGTGATCTACATAAAAAAGTTTCGTATTGTCGATATGAACATCTTTGAAGTTTAGGCCATCGCCATCCGATCTTATCTAGAAGGCCGAAGTTGTATTCAAAATACCAAGATTTTGTATTCAGAACACTATTCGGCTGATTACGCTCCCAGGACTGCCTCGTATGGAAAAATGATCTACATGAATTGTCTTCGTCTCGTCGAAACGATCGATTTTAATATAAATATCGTCTTAATCTGAGGTCGTATGCAACCCGTGGAGGCAAAACAAGGTCAGAAACAGAAGCTGCAGAGTCATTTCGGACCGACCGAGTTGATTTGATCGGTGAGACCGAGTTTGTCCAAAAATTTACCAGAAAGTTGGCAATGTTGACTCGATAGGACCGAAGCAAACCAATCGGTGAGACCGAGATTGATCCGTAAATTACAGAAGGTTACAGAGAGTTGGCCACGTTCACTCGACGGGACCGAAGCAAACCAATCGGTGAGACCGAGATTGATCCGGAAATTGCCAAAGATTCCTGCCCGAGTTAGGTTAGGGTTTTTGATGTTTTGGACGGAATTTTTAGTACTTTTCTTGTACGGAAAGTCCAGCCGCCTCATAAATAGATGAGAGGTGACGGCCGATTGAACAACACACAATCGAACATATCAATCTATCATCTTTTACCTTTACCTTTATCTCCCTCCCTTGTTCTTCTTTTTCCTCGTTCTTCGTTCGTTCTTCTTGTTGTAGGGCGACGAACCTCGAGGACCTAGGGGCGATCAGGTCGACCTAGGACAGCCCATAGCTACCGCGCGCCTTGACGGGGTCCCTCCCGGGCGCGTGGGGTTTCGGGTCCTTAAAAGCTCCCGCCGGATTGCTTGCGTACCGCGCTTTCGGATGGGTCTCCTTTGACGTGAGCTGCGGTGCATCACCCTCGGCGTTGGAGATACACGGTAACGTGTCCGTGTGCGATCAAAGGGTCCAGCCGGAACCGCATTGATCTGATTTGGAAGCAAAGAGCAAAAAGGCGGGGGTTGGTGCGCAGCGAGTTTAAAATTGAGATAAGCCCGGGAAGGCGACGTTGCGCGCTCTCGTCTCTTCACTCGCCGGGGCCGAATGAGTGGTCCTCCTCCACCTCCAGTCCACCTCCGCCTCCAGTCCCCAAACCCCCCAACCTCTCGCAGAGGCAGAGGCAGAGCAGACCCACCGGCTGCAAGGCTGGACCACCGGCCACGAGGCCACGCGTCAGGGAAACACCCTCTCCCTCTCCGAACGAAAATGGAGGTGGTCGTCTCGTCGTCCACCTTTGCCGGGCCCGTCCTTAATGACGCGCGGTAATCTATCGCCCGAGCTGAGCTTCTACAGTCACCGGAGGTCCGGGGAGCACTGTGAAGCGTCACATGGGATGGGCTTGTATGTACGCTAGCTGCACATTTATTACGGCAGTCGGCAGGTCGCCCATCCCCATCGCGGCCGCCGTCTCCCCCTTCTCGCCTCCAGCTCCAGCTCCAGGTCCCGGCCCGCTTTAAATCCGCCCCTGGCCTCCCTTCCGGCCTCCCTCCCTCCATCGCTCGCTCGCCGCTGCTTAGTGGAGTAGTATAATCAGTACAGATAATTATTGGCAGCCAGATATTTTCGTCCGCTCAGTTCAGTTCACCACTGCCGGTGGCCGCCAGTGCCCGGATCGCCGATCGACACATGGACGCGGCCATATCCGCCGCCCACGAAGCGCCGCCCGCTGTCGTCCTCGTCTCCGCCGGCGCCAGCCACTCCGTCGCCCTCCTCGGTAAGTCAAGCGGACCGTTTTCTTTCTTCCTTTCTTTCTTTCTTTCTTTCTGGGCGGGGGGAGCGTTTCGTCGAGCGCCGCCTCGGCGCGCAGGGCGGGGATTCTTTCCTTCCAGTTGTTTGGGCGCAGCAGTGGGGTGTGGATCGCGGTGCTGACGGGTTCCGCACCGCGGTGGCGGCGGCTTGTGCTTTGTAGCGGGCAATGTGCTGTGCACGTGGGGCAGGGGAGAGGACGGGCAGCTCGGCCACGGGGACGCCGAGGACCGGCTCGTGCCGACGGTGATCACCGGCTTTGAGGCGCCGGGGATCACGTCCGTCATCTGCGGGGCGGACCACACCACCGCCTACTCCGAGGACGAGCACCAGGTCTACAGCTGGGGGTGGGGGGATTTCGGGAGGCTGGGGCATGGCAACTCCACCGACGTGTTCACGCCCCAGCCGGTCAAGGCGCTGCAGGGGATAAAGATCAAGCAGCTAGCCTGTGGGGATAGCCACTGTCTGGCCGTCACCATGGCCGGTGAAGTGCTCAGGTAAGCCGGCTAGCAACACTTGGTATATACCAGCTGCCTTTCAAAAAGTGCAACATATGTGCTACCGAGAGGACTTTTCGTCAATTGATAAGATCGCTGCATTGCATTGCTCTGGTTGATCTTCGAGTGACTGTTACTCTAGTCTGAACTTCTCATACATGCTTGTTTTAGTTGGGGGCGTAACCAAAATGGCCAGCTTGGCCTTGGAACTACTGAAGATTCGCTGCTCCCACAAACGATTCAAGCTTTTGAGGTACAATATTCTTCTTATGTGCTATTTTTAGATAGCAAATGCAAATATATGATACAAGGAAAAGAAAATCTAGTGTCATCTTCCTTGATACTTGTCCATGACAGCAATCTTTTGATTGCATTTTGTTACGGTAGGGATCCCCTACCGGGGAAGCGTGCCATGTGGAAATAATTGCTATGATTTGTAGTATTCGATATACAGACCAACATGACATGTAATGTAGGTGGGATCCTGTCAGATTACTGTGATGGGCATTCCGTCATTTATACGTAGGTACCACTCTGATATAGACATCAGTGAATAGCACCGTGTTAATGATAAACAAATAACCTTTAAGTATACTTATCTTCTAAAAAATTATCAACAAATATAATAAAACTTGTGTGGGAATGCAGACATGCTGACCTTCTAATGAATATGATGTGCAAGGTTATTAAGAGCTAATGGTCCAAAATGTGTAGGGTATTTCTGTGAAGATGATTGCTGCTGGTGCCGAACATACTGCTGCAGTAACTGAAGATGGCGAAATCTATGGATGGGGCTGGGGTCGATATGGAAACTTGGGTCTTGGTGATCGGAATGACCGATTAGTTCCTGAAAAAGTATCTTCAGTGGAGGTAATGATCTAATTGGCATGACTTGCTTAACATTTACATCCACAGACACACTCCTACTAATGCCTTCATCAATTGATCCATAAAAATGGAATATTCCATTTCCATCTATATCTGTGTTCTGTAGTGGTATTATCAAGCACCCAACATATCCCTGTTAGTGTTATCATAGAACTAATTAATGATGAATATGATGGACCAGTATTCAGAAACAAGGACTGGCTTCCTGTCTGGGGCAGTACTACCCATGTATATTCATGCTTCATAGTTAAATAGCTAACACTTCAGAAGAATCTCTAAATGGAAACATCTGGAATACTAATTGTTCTTTGAGATGACTAGTAGAAGCTTATATATCCTCATCTAGCCATCCCCATCCAGTCCTCCATATGTGATTCTATTCATTGAAATTACATTTTTTTTTTGGAAAAGGAGGCTTACCCCCGGCCTCTGCATCCGACTTTTACATGCAATGCTGTCTTCTACAGTTCCGACTATGGAAGGCGTTAGTTTATTTTTTGTCTCGTCTTCTTACTTGCTCTCTTTGTTCTTATGCTTCCAGGTTTATCTTTATTTTGTTACTTGCACTTTTGTAGGGAGAGAAGATGGTGCTTGTTGCATGCGGATGGCGCCATACCATTACTGTTTCCTCCTCCGGTAGTTTGTACACTTACGGTTGGAGTAAATATGGTCAGCTTGGTCATGGCGACTTTGAAGATCATCTAGTTCCACATAAAGTAGAAGCCTTAAAGGATAGCTCTACATCCCAGGTACTAGCTAATACCAACAACATTCTGTGTTACGCAATGTTTATGATTATATCTTCAGGCAAGTCCATAGCCATAGGGCAGGGCTTGGGATATCTAGAGGCAATGTAGTGTTACTTTTGTAGTCCTCCAAGCAACTCAGAACCTATCACATGCTATTCAGCCTGCAGAATTCCTCGGGCTGGACTAAAGTCTTGGTGCTATCAAGTTTTCTTTTGTTACATACTGCATATGTGCTGATTGATTGGTGATTGAGGTCTGTGAAGAAGGTTAATAATATGTACATATGCTCTATCTCATTTAGATTTCAGGTGGATGGAGGCACACAATGGCACTTACATCAGATGGAAAACTTTATGGATGGGGATGGAACAAGGTCATTATCAATGTCCATCTACTTTTCTTTATCTGTCATATAGTTGGTATCTGTGTAAAACTACACAAGGAAGTCTTTTATTGCGTGGTTTTGTTCACGATTTCAAAAGACCAAATACTCAAAATGAATCTCTAATGTGGTACCCGGCCGTAATCAGTTTTGTATATGCATTGATTACTATGGTGCCATCATTTCATGACAATCAAAAGATACCTCTACACAAAGAAAACAAAATAAGACTTCATATTAATTTAAACATGACCAACCGAGTTTCAGAATGTGATCATTTATTATAATTTCTACTTGGAGAATCACCATTGTTTGCTAAAGTGCAACCACTTTATATAGGATAGATTTAAGTCTTTACAGATGCTTGGCTTTGGTAGAATGTTGAGAGTCATAACTCATCCGATCGGGCTATACAACACTTAGTTTTTACTAATGAGTAATGACTAGCCAGAATGAATGGAGTTCTGTCGGATCCTAGATTTGAGCCCTTTCATTATCCCTGTTGTCATTCGATAAGTTTTTTCACAATGCTACAGCTAGTGGTGGACTGGTTTTTTGTGATCTCATTCATTTAAATTTATTATTGTTAAACGGTGCCTGTATGCTGAGCTTGGCTTGAATTCCGACTCTACTTTTCTGCACTGGCATATTATGGTCGACATATTATGTTCCCAGTGTTTCATCTTTCACTTGTCCAGGTGGTTTATCTTTGCCTGCACTAATCGTCTCATATTTTCATCTGCAGTTTGGGCAAGTTGGAGCTGGCGACAATGCTGATCACTGTTCCCCAGCACAGGTTAATTTTCCAGAGGAACAGGTATGGCATGTGTTTGGGAGTGCTAAATGATCCATGGAAGTCATAACCAGCAAATTTATGCTCAAAGTCGTCTCATTGATTCACGTGAATAATAATCAAACTTCCATACCTTGTGGTGGTACTGCAGAAAGTTGCCCAAGTTGCTTGTGGATGGAGGCACACTCTTGCTTTCACAGAAAAGAAAAATGTGTTTGCATGGGGAAGGGGTACCAGTGGACAACTCGGTCATGGGGAAATAGTTGACAGGTGGTTCCTGTTTAATGTTTTTATTCAAGCACTCATTTGAACTAGCCCTTGATCACCTAACGTAAACTAACAAAATATCATTTTGCACAATCCTGAAGGAACACACCTGTGATTATTGATGCCCTAAGCCCGGATGGTCCTGGCTCCAAGAAGCTGGAATCTTCAGCAGCTATTCCCTTTGCAGGTTGGTACCAAATGCGCTCTAGCCACAGATACTAGTAGGCGCTCGTTTTCAGACAGACAACTAATGGTACTTCGTGATGTTTTTAGCTAAAATTTGGGTGTCACCCTCTGAAAGATATGCTCTTGTTCCTGATGAGAAGGTGAGCTCATGCCTAGTAGACATGCAACCTCTTTCTCCTTGCGAGAATATGAAGTTCTTTTACATACCGTTGGACTGTCACTGAAGATTGATCCGTGTCGATCTGTAGGTTGCCAAATCAGGCGATGTCAGCGCACGTGGCAATGGTGCGGATGCGAGTGTGCCCGAGAACGATGTAAAGAGAATGCGCGTGTCATCCTAGTTCGATGACCTATCATCTATGCACCTCATTAACCCTAGCACTACTATCAAAAAAACCTTGCGCATTGTTCACCAGTTTCCACCTAGTGGTGTCCAGTTAATGTGCATTCCGTTCTGCCAAAGTACTTTCCAGAAGAGGAGCCTCCTTCTCCTGGCGTTGAGATGATGTATCAGCACCTATGGTGTATAATTCACCTCTTAGAGGTGGCTAGTAGAATCAACCTGGACCTGTGTTTGGAATGTTTCAGTAGCTGCATCCGACACTTTGTTTGGACGGTACAATCAATAAGCTATACGTTCTTATCCCTATTTTCAGTTTTTCATAGCTCAATCTGGACTAAATTGTTTTTATTTTGGAAAATATACTAACGGTAATTTCATAACAAAATGATACATTATTGTTTTTTCAATGAGCTAATGAAAATGAAATGAGATAAACATTTTTTTGGGTCCCTCAACTGTCTACACAATTCCCTTTTGGACCACTTATACTAGACTTAAACATGCTCTTTGTGGTGCCTCCTTTTTTTCCGAGAGTATGTGAAACGCGTACCATTCATTCTACTTCTTTATAGATTTTTTTGACAAAAAGGATTACCCCTGCCTTTGTATCAAAGCGATGCATGCAGCCATCTTATTAACTAAAAGGTCAAACAAGTGTGTAGTATGATACAAAAACTCATTAAGAGATAAAAAAAGGGAGAACTCAAAGCCACAACTGGCAAAACATAGAACTAGATGCCTATACACTTATCCTCTTGTTGGACCGCCATCCAAACCAGTTGTAGTTATCCCGTGCTACCGTCTCACATTGGTTGCACCCATATGTCATATGCTCCTTGGCTTTCGCACGGCTAAGTAACGACCATGTACGGATCCAGCCAGTTGCTCTGAAGATCACGTGCAAAAATATTTGTGATGTTTTGCCTGTTACAAATCACGTCATTTTGACAGTTTCATATGGCCCAAAATAATGCACACACTCCGAGTTGAATATGCGCCCCTAACTTATGCTCTACCCCGTTTAGCCAAGTCCCAAAAAGGGGGTTTATGGTATCAGGTGGTAAAAAGCACATGCACAGTTCGCCGCAATAGTTTGTCAAGTGGACAATCAAGAAACAAATGTTGGATCGATTCATTTCGATCGCAGAAACATCGCTTACTACTCTCCCAATTACGTTTTGCCAGGTTATCCTTAGTCAGGATCACTTCTTTGTGTACGAACCACATAAAAAAACTATCTCTAGTGGAACCTTAATTTTTCAAGTATGTAGTGATTTTGAGATTGGACCAGTGTGTTATGAAGTCTATATACATAAACTTCACTGAGAATACTCCTGACACTGAAAATTTCCAGTGTAGTGTATCTGGCTCATTAGAAAGGCCGATTTGCATCACCCTGCATAAGATGTAGCCATCTATCCCATCGTTCCCCTAGAAGCGATCTTCTGAACTGTATGTTTAAAGGAACTGATCCTAGAATTATACTAATGAAAGCCTCTTTTCGTTGTACAATATTGTAGAGGGTTGGATATTGTATGGCGAGCGACGTGTCCCCTAGCCACGTAACTTCTCATAACCTACTTGAATTGCCATTCCCGACACTGAATTTGGTCCTATTGAAAAGGCTACCTTTGTCCGCATGAGCCCCTTCCAAAAGGATGAATCATTCGACTATGCCGTAACTTGGGCAAGGGTCATGGAGTGTAGATACTTGTTACGCAATAACTATATCCACACTTCCTCGTCCTCAACGGGAAGTCTATACAACCATTTACTGAGTAAGCATTTGTTCTTTATCTCAAGGTTTTCTATAACTAAACCTCCTTGATCCTTCGGCCTGCGAATTATATCCCACTTTGCCGGCCTATATTTTGATTTAGTCTCATCACTCTCGCAAAAGAAGCATGATCGATAAAAGTCATCTTTTGTGTACCCCCATGGGTACCTCAAAGAAGGACAACAGGAACATCATTATACTTGTAAGCACGAAATTTATCAGGATTAGCCGACCCCCATAAGACATAAGTTTGCCCTTGCAGTACCTAAGCTTTTTTCTCAAATAGATCCTCTATGCACTTCCATTCTTTCTTGGTGAGATTTCAGTAGTGAATTGATATTCCCAGATTCTGAATGGGAGAGACCCCAACTGCTACTTGTGATCTGCGTTGGTATTTCCCCGAAGAGGAGAGGATGATGCAGTACAACAGAGGTAAGTATTTCCCTCAGTTATGAAACCAAGGTTATCAATCCAGTAGAAGAATCAAGCAATACTATGTAAATAGCACCTGCACATAAACAACAAATACTTGCAACCCAGCGCGTAAAGAGGTAGTCAATCCCTCAACGGTTATGAGCAAGATTAAATTGTATATGATTTGATAACTAGATCTAACTAAATTGCAAAGTAAAATAAATAAAAGAAAATTGCAGCAAGGTATTTTTAGGATTTTTATATGATAAAAGATAGACCCGATGTTCATAGTTTTCACTAGAGGCTTCTCTCAAGAAAATAGAATACAGTGGGTAAACAAATTACTATTGAGCAATTGATAGAAAAACAAATAATTATGGCGATATCCAAGGCAATGATCATACATAGGCATCACGTCCGAGATTAGTAGACCGAAACGATTTTGCATTTACTACTATTACTTCACACATCGACCGCTATCCAGCATGCATCTAGTGTATTAAATTCATGGAAAAACAGAGTAATGCATTAGGCATGATGACATGATGTAGACAAGACAAACTCATGTATGAATAAACCCCATCTTTTTACCCTTAATGGCAACCATACATACGTGTCATGTCCCTTTCTGTCACTGGGATTGAGCATCGCAAGAACGAACCCATCACAAAGCACCTCTTCCCATGGCAATATAAATTAATCTAGTTGGCCAAACCAAACCAATAAATCGGAGAAGAAATACGAGTCTATATTAATCATGCATAAAAGAGTTCAGAGAAAACCCAAATAATATTCATGGATAGATCTGATCATAAACTCAAAATTCATCGGATCTCAACAAACACACCGCAAAAAAGAATTACATCGGATAGAACTCCAAGAACATCAAGGAGAACATTGTATTTAAGAACATCGAGAGAGAAGAAGCCATCTAGCTACTAAGTATGGACTCGTAGGTCTATGATAAACTACTCACGCATCATCGGAGGGCAACAAGGTTGATGAAGAACCCCTCCGTGATCGTTTCCCCCTCTGGCAGAGTGCTGGAAAAGGCCTCTAGAGTGGATCTCATGGTTCTAGAACTTGTGATGGCAGAAATAGTATTTCGTGGACTCCCCTGTGGGTTTTGGGATTTATGGATATTTATAGTCAAAATTAGGTCATACGTAGCCCGCACCTACCCTCCTGGGCGCGCCCTAGTGGGTCATGGGCCCATGCTCCCACGTCTGGTCTTCCCCCGAAGCTTCTAGTGTTCATTATGTCCAGAAAAAAATCTCCAAAAAATTTCGTGGCATTTGGACTTCGTTTGGTACTGGTATTCTGCGAAACCAAAAACAAGCAAAAAAAACAGCAACTGGCACTGGGCACTAGGTTAATAGGTTAGTCCCAAAAAATGATATAAAGTTGCTTGTAAATATATATAAAACATCCAAGATTGATACTTTAATAGCATGGAACAATAAAAAAGTTATAGATACGTTGGAGACGTATCACCAACTTACACCCAAATAACTGTCTATAATTGTCCTGCTCTTCCTTGGCGCGTCCAACATAGAACATTTCACTTTTGTTAAAACTAGATGATTCCCCGCGCATTGCTGCGGGAATATATGGTCAAAAAATAAACATTGATGATTAGGTAGAATTATGATTTTGATGATCAGATTACTCTTTCAGTCACATGGAACAATGTTATAAGTTCAAGGGGAAAGAGAAATTTACTTTTCACTGTCCAGTACAATTCTATGTGTAGGTGCTAATAACGGGAATTTTGCACCAACCAAAAATTGGAAGTACATTATCAAAGACTTGGTCATTACATACTTCCCAAATGCACCAAGTCTCTGAATAGCAATTCCCATGGCAAATAGTTTGTTTATCTATTCTTTAACAATCTCTATCCCTCCAATAATTTGGTTGCCTGTTCTCCATTAGCATTGCAAGGCAAAAGAAAATTCCAAGGAAAATACAACTATATTCCTTGACATGAGTACTTGAGCCGGCATAACATTTCCAAAGAAAATTGAAATGGAATAAAAGATCCCTCAAGTTTTAATATGCCCGCCAAAATACTAAGGCACGCCATGGAATTAGGAGCCCTGTTGGATTAGTAACGCTGGATGTCAATAAGGAAGCTCGTAGTTATACAAAATAGCAATAGATGTATTATTGTTCCCAACAAAAAGATTGATCACATGACGTCATGACACGGGAGGATAAAAGACAGATGCATCAAGTAGCAGAACGGAGCAAGAACACAACCCACTTTTTATTTTTTTGCATTTATTCTCAGCGTAGATGAATTATACAATTAGAAAAACAATACTGCCATGAGACTATACATATAAGATCCCTTGCCAGACCACAAGTGAAAGGCAACAAAATCGTAAGCGAGAGTAATAAACATGGTCACAAAACTGATGGCACCTCGATTGGTAATGGCCAATTAGCAAAGGAGAACGCCCTCAATGTTGTGGTTCTCTACAGTATATTCCATGAAGATTTGCCCCATGTTACTCACAATAAGAAGGGAACATTACTTGGAGATGCCAAATCATTTTAAAGCAACCCAAATATGAAGATTTGAGCACCACTTCACTACTCCTTTGGCAAATTTTGGGTCATCCCCACAATCAAATTGACAAAAAATGGAATAATCCAATGAGTCTACACCACCAACAAAAATAAAATCATGTACATTTCATAGAAATGTACATATTAATATAACAACAAAGTTCAACGAATTGATATACTGAACCCTTTACAAACTGGTGATGCACAAATATTGAACCATACATAACTGGTGA